GGGAACATAGTGATGTTTCCCCAACTGACATGACTCACAATCCAAAACAGAAAGACGACTCAACAATGGAACAAGTGATTTAAGTGCTTTAAGCGATGGATGACCAAGTCTGTAGTGCCACTAAAGAGGAGAAAGAGATGTTTGAAGAGCTGTTGACGAACCACCTCCACCATCAAGATAATACGGTCCACTAGCTTCATGCCCTCCACCAATCTTCATCCTCGTCTCGAGATCCTCAAAAGCACAAGAAGAATGAAAAGGTGATAGAGCAATTAAGAGACTTGGTTAGATTACTAACAGACATAAGATTAAAAGGAAATTTGGAAACATATAAAACTGGGGACAAGGATAATGGGTCTATGTCAACATTACCAACACCACAAATAGAAGTTGTGGAACCATTAGCAAGGGTAACAGAGTGTGATGTGGAGCATTGAGAAAGGGAGGAGAACACACCCGGAGTCCCAGTCATATGATCGAAAGCTCCAGAGTCAATAATCCAATGGGAGGGTTTGGATGCCAGACAAGCCATACCTGAATGTGCGTGGGTAGTTGTATTCTGTTGAGACGTGGCCTGGATAAACCGCTCATACTCATCACATGGAACACTCATCATCTCCTTCCTTGAGACATCCGTATATGTAGAAGGCATCTGATCATCTTGTTAAATATCCTGTCTTGAACTACTATCACCGGCTACTACATGATTTTCCCAAGTTGAAGGTGGATCATGTAGATCATAACAAAAGTTGGTGTGCCCTTCCATTCCACAATGTGTACACTTCAGACCATTCTTACGTCCTCTACCACGAGCTCTTCCTAAATCTCGACCTCCAATACATCCAGCACCACGACTATACATGGGTCCACTACCACCAATACGACCATACATGGGTCCACCACCACCATTACGACCAGGCTAAGCTCCCCGAGCTCCACCTCTAACTCCACGACCCCCCCCCCCCTCTTGTCATTGCAAAGGCAGACCTACTAAAAATCCTCCAAAGTCCAGCAAACACCTCTTCTAGAGAAGGAAGAGCTGACCCACCTAGTATCTATTCTCTCACTGACTCATATTCATATTTCAGTACTACTAAAAATCTGGTTACATCGAGTTTCTCTCTCTGTTGTCACCGAATCTTAACATCAGATGTGAGGGGGTGGTACACATTCAACTCATTACAAAGATTCCTCATGCTAGCATAGTATTCCTCAAGACTTTGATTACCCTATTGCAGATTAAAGTACTCTTGTTAAAGCTGATACAAGTGGTATTGTCTTGTCCAGAGTACAGCTTCTTGGCATGGTTCCAAATCTCCTTAACTGTATCTAAGAACATAAAATTAACACTGGTCTTGGGTTCCATACTATTCCATAACCAGGCCATAATCTGCGCATCTTCTTGTTCCCAATCACTATATTCCTGAGAATCAGCTGGAGGTTTTTTTCCTCTTATATGCTTTACTTTCTTCTTAGCCCTAAGCAAGACCTCTACAGATTCCGCCCAAGGCACATAATTCTCCCCATTCAAATTGATAGACGTCATCTGAACATTCAGGTAATCGGAGGGAACCATAATGCTAGACTTGTGTTCAGTACTGTCTCCCATATCTGAATTTTTTTTTCTCACCTGTATATCACACACCTAATTCACTTTTCACCACACTGCACACTAGTGATAGATTATTGCTGAAGACACCTACTGTCACAGTTTTCAGCAATAACAGTCACTGATATTCCTCACTCTCAGTACCACAAAGCTACCCGAATACACTCCATACAGCCCACCTATTTGAAACTCACCAACCACTCGATTCACATTGAAACACCCATACAGCCCACCTATTTGATCAACAAAAAACAACCTGCACTCGACTGTCCATTGAACCACCTGAAACAGCCCTCTCCGTCCATCGATTAGAGGGTTTCCTACAAACCACCACAAACACCCACTAAACCACAGACCGGAGGCATGAAAACCTCCAAAAGGAAAGGGCGACCACTCCTTTTCAGCCCTTTCTTATCTCCAACAGATGATGAAGAAAGCTTGAAAAACCCTAGGCTGAATGATGTTGGAAAAGAATTCTGGGCAGATCTGAATTTGTCACAGTGGCTCTAATACCATGATAAAGTTCAGATCTGCATTAGTATTCAGTTAGAAATGGCAGTAGAAGAAAGTTATAGGAGATAGAACAGAGAAGAAGAGAAGAGAGGAGAGGAGAAGAAGAAAGCGGTTCGAACAAGAGAGAAAAGTCTTCTCTCTCTAGTCAGCCAGGTTATATTTTTAGTTTTCTAATATAAAACAAAAAGTATGTTATGCCCCTACTTAAGTATCGGACACATCACTTAAATATTACACCTCACACCAAACATAAATAAAAAGACCAAACTACCCCTATACAGTCGACACTAATAGATAAAAGTGACAATTATTAAAAGAGAAAAAAGGTTAATAGATGCTTTAGAAAATGACCTTATTTCATTTTTGTCTGAAACCTTGGTATGACCCACAATTCCATCATATAGGTAACAAAAAGGATTCAACTATGATATTGGAAAAAGTTGTAACCAATCAACTGGTATCATAAAAGTGGCTAGGGGTGAGCAAGAAAAACCGAAAAACTGAACCAAACCAAAAGTTCGACCAAAACCAAATAAAAAATTCAGTTAGTTGAACCGGGTGGTTCAGTATTTTTAAAAAATAGAAGGTACCGGTTCGGTTTTGGTTAACCAACATAGAAAATTGGTTAACTAACCGACCAGTATACATATATTTCTATATATTTATGCATATTATATATTTTCTATATATTATAAATTAATAAATATGCATTATATATAAATATATAAATATATATATTTGTAATATATGATATATATTTATATATTTTTATTAATATATTGTAAATATAAAAAGCCGAAAAACCAACGGTTAATCCAACCGGTCAACTGGTTAACTGATTGATTTCAGTTCGGTTTCGGTTACCGGTTTTTGGAAAACCGGTAACCCTGGTTCGGTTTAAAAAATAGGCCACAGTTCAGTTAACCGAACCGTGAGCACCCCTAAAAGTGGCAACCAATCAGGTGGTTCTTTATCAAATTCTGGGGGGTGGGGATTTGACTGGTCAAACCCCTTCAGGTATCATGTCTTTCTGGTAGCATAGATTTTTCCTAACAATTAAAAAAAATGTTTTTTAACAGTCTGCAGTCTGGAAAATTGAATTTGTTCTCCCTATGAAATATATTAACATAATAATTCCATACAATAATTGGAATCTATATTCTTTTAATTAAAAGGACAAATAAAGAACTAAGTGGGGTAACGCGTCAAGTGTGGGAAGCTTCAAAACAGCCCAGGCTGTTGTTTCCATACAGCCAAGTTTTCTTGCCCCAAAACAACATATTAAGACTAATACTTTTTTCACTCATTAAGATTTCTAATGACTTGTAATGACATCAACATATTAATCATTGAGAAAAGTGAACTCAAACAAGTCATTAAAATTTCTAATGACTTGCAATCATGAATTCATCATCTATGGAGTCGGCTACATGAATCCTTTTTCACCATTCCGTTCTATTTAATGCCATATCCATAAAAACCAAAATATCATTGCTTCAGAAATACAATAAATAAATGAAAAATAAGATCTATACATATAAAATTGTTTTTCCACGTCATTTCCTAGGTGACTGAACCATTGTCATACCATATGAGAACTGCTGGACAAGAATTTTTTTTTTTTCTTTTTTGGTGTCTCCTAATAGCGTCTTGGGTGTCCCATCACATGGAATGTGATTGGTGACTTTGAACTGAATAAAGGTTGTGGACCTTAGAAGTTTCCCTTTAGCTTGTGTTTTTTTCTTGCCATTAAAGAGGCTGCATTTTTAATATTTATCTAAAAGCATAAATGAAAGTTGTAAGGCCAGCTATATTGTATGGAACAGAGTGTTGGGCAGTCAAGGAACAATATGTCCAAAAAATGAGTGGCAGAAATGTGAATGCTTAGATGGATGAGTGGTAAATCTAGGAGGACAGGATTAGAATAGAAGTCATATGAAGGATCCTAAGAGTGGCTCCAATAGGTGATAAAATAAGTGAAAGTAGGTTGAGATGGTTTGGCCACATGCACAGAAGACTATCTATAGCACCTGTTAGAAAAAGTGATCTGTTACTTGAAGGAGCTAGAAGAGCTAGGGGGAAAAAAGGACTTGGGTGGAAGTAATACGAGATGATTTAGGCACCCATGATTTTACAAGGGATATGGCACCAAACAGAATGGAATGGCAAAGTAGGATTCATGTAGCCAAACCCATTATAGATTGAACAAGGCTTAGGTGAGGATGATCTAAAAAACATAAATGCTAGGTAGAAGGGCATCATCTTTGTTTTTTTTTTCTTGTATTGCCTCCTAGAGATTGTAACTTTTTTCTGTAACTTATTCTAAACATGATGTGCTTCCCGGTAAACTTTTCTTGCAGCTTCTTATTTTCATTCTTCATTTGCTGCTCTATTGAGCTTTGTAGTTTCTTGAATTTCTTGTCATATAAGATGTTTTATTTGAAGCTTATTTTTAAAGAGCCGTATGTTTGATTTCGAGCGCATTAGGATTAAACTGCCTCGTATTGACATTCTGTTAGAGGGAAATATTACATGTGTAATTCATTTCTGAAAATTGTGCCATCAGTTGCCCAGTTGTTAAGCAAATGTTGTGCACATTGACAAAATGAAATTAAACTTCAGTGTCTTAGCTTGATTAGTGCCAATTTAATATGTTCTCCACATTTGTGTATCCACTGCCAATGCCAATTATAGCTTTGTGTGAGATCTATTCTATGGACAGTTGTATGAAAAGATACAAAAGACCAAACAATCAGCTCGTTTGATTATGTTCCAAGGTGTTATTATAAACATATGCACCAGTTTGTTAAGTGAAAAATAGTGCTTTTTGGACAAATAAGGAAATCTGACTGTACAGTCCATCCTGGGTTCATGTTAGTATGAAGATCTAGGGCAACTTTGTAATGATCCAAGAACAAAGGCAGCTGTCCTGACTGACATGGATGCCGTTGGAAGGGAAGCTCAGGTGACATTTTGACAAATATCCTTTTAGACTTTAAAGTTGCATTGACACCTATATTATTTTATTGCATTTTATTTATTTGACTCTAAGTTTGTCACTTTACCATCTTCCATTGTGCAGTTGAGGGGTTTTGAATTTGCAAAAGCTGTAACTTTAGTTGTTGAACCGTTCACTGTGGAGAATGGCCTTCTCACTCCAACATTCAAGGCAAGTCTAGCTTCAGTCAAGTGTGAAAGAAATGAAATATATTTAGAATGAAATGGTCTCATGGTGTTCTGTTCATTTATCTCTTCCAGATTAAGAGACCTCAAGCGAAGGCTTACTTTGCAACAGCGATATCAGACATGTATGCCCAACTTTCTGCATCTGATCCAGATTCCCAGAAAATGTTGTGAACTAAAGCGTGTAAGAAATGTAGAAACAAATAATAAGAGTCGTGCTTCTCAGTAGAGGGACTTTGGTTCACTTCCACTTGAGTAATAAAACCGCAAGAGGTGGGAAAAAAGGTGCATCAAGGTGTCCTTCTGCTCTTAATAAGATATCAAACCCCCGTAAGCAAGGGTGTTGCAAGTTACACGATACAATTAAAATGTATCAATTTTCTCGACATAACTTAAATTTGATTGATTTATTAGTTGCATTCAAATGGATTGTATTTATGATCTAATTCCAACATAATTTGATATTGAATGATGCCATTAGAGTGCGGAGGTGCACTTGTATATGTTTGCCATTTGAAATAATGATCTACCATAAATTTAATCTTAGTTTGTATCTCTACTCTCCAGCCATCAAAATTCGAAAATGTCACTCTTATTTCTGTGATTGTGGATCAATCGTGTGGTGTTCATCCCTAGTGCTAACTGGAAAACAGCAGTAGATGTGGAAGAAGAAGAGGGGAGAACAGGTCTGAGAATGGGCGGCAATAGTAGTCTTTGCCAGCCCTAGAAGCTAACTTATATATTCACAATAATAGATTACATAGAAGGACTAGAATGCTCCTAATTAGTGATGGGACACCTAGGCATAATAAATAAAGATAAAACAGGATTAGGCCCAATAGCTAAAGGCCCATAATAAACTAAGAAACTTAAACATAAAAGATAAACTAGGCCCACAAACACTTAACCACTCGAACCAACGCTCCCCCTCAAGCTAAGCATGGATACTAGTCATGTTTAGCTTGCCAAGTAAGTCTAAGAACTTTATTGAAGATAGTCCTTTAGTCAAAACATCTGCAACTTACATCTCAGGAGTATAAGGAATGTAAAGTTCATCCGAGACAATTCTCTCTCTAACAAAGTGTCAGTCAATCCCAATATGCATAGTCCTATCATGTTGCACTGGATTATTTGCAATGTTGATAGCATCATTGTTTTCACAATACAACTTGAGAGGATACTCAACCTTTGTCGCAAGTTCACCAAAAAGGGTCCTAAGCCACAACAGTTTGACAACACCATGAGCCATAGCCCGATATTCAGCTTCTGCACTTGATCTAGCAATCACATTTTGCATTTTACTTCATCATGTAACCAAATTCCCTCCAACAAATGTGCAATATCCAAAAGTAAACTTGCTATCTCCAATAGAACCAACCCAATCTGCATTGGTATACGCTTTAATTTCAATTTTATTGTGCCTTTTGAACAAAATTCCTTTTCCCGGGCATGTCTTTAAATACCTGAGTATTCTTTCCACTACTTTCATACGAGGAAACTTAGGAGAGTGCATGAATTGACTGACAACATGCACCGCATAAGCAATATCAGGTCGAGTAAGAGATAGATATATCAATTTTCCTACCAGCTTTTGGTATCTTTCTTTATCATGGTAGTCCTCTCCAACCAATTCCTATAGACAATAATTCTGCTCTATTGGAGTATCTACACGTCTACACCTTATCAAACTTGTCTCTTCTAGGAGATCAAGGACATACTTCCTTCGTCATATATAAATGCCCTCTTATGACCTTGCAACCTCAATTCCAAGAAAGTATCTTAGATGGCCTAAATCTTTGACCTCAAATTTCAGATGCCAAGAATTCCTCCAATCTTTTTATCTCTCTTGGATCATTTCTGGTAATCACCATATCATCCACATAAACAATAAGTGTTGTAAGTTTGCTATCTTGTTTCCTTATGAACAAGGTATGATCTACACTACTCTGATCGTATCCTACTTTCATCATAGCTCCACAGAGCCTTTCAAACCAAGCTCGAGGGGATTGCTTGAGGCCATATAATGCTTTCCTTAGTCTATATACTTTTCCATCAAAATCATAATCGAGTGGAGGTTTCATGAATACCTCATCATGTAAATCACCATTTAGGAAAGCGTTCTTCACGTCCAGTTGATGTAGCTCCCATGAGAAGTTTGTAGCTAATGACAATAAAACCCGGATTGTGTTGAGCTTTGCAACTGGGGCAAAGGTCTCATTGTAACCAATCCCTTCCTTCTGAGTAAAACCCCTTCGCCACTAACCTGGCCTTATATCTTTCAAATGACCCATCCTCCCTATGCTTCAAAGTGAACACCCACTTACATTCCACAATACTCTTCCCTTCTTATAAATCCACTAATTCCTATGTCTTGGCCTTCATTAAGGCTTTCATTTCTTCACTCATAGCCTCTCTCCATCTTGGGTCAAACATTGCCTCTGAGTACTTAGTAGGGACATGAACAGAAGAAAGAGCATACACAAAGGAATAATAACGATGAGATAGACATGAATAAGAAACATATTCAGCAATGGGGTGTCGGGTAGTACAAGAACGAGTATGCTTACAAAGAGCAATGGGAAGATCAAAATCAGAAGTATGAGTGATAGAATTACCTGGATTCATTGAAAGATTAATCTGAGTCCGATTGGTTGTTGCCATAAGTTGGAGGATCTTTTTTTATTCTTCTGTAGGAAATTCTTATATCTCTTTGCTGCCTGTTAGTGTTATCAGTCACACCCTCAACATCAGGAGTAGTAGCTAGTTTAGTGGGAGTCCTACTGGAATCAACTGGGTGGTCAGGAGCAGTAACAAGGTCAATGGGAGTCTTACTAGATTCAGCTGAGCTGGTAAAAACAGGAGGATCAAGAGGAAAAGATGGAAGACCCGAGGCTGAAAGAGGCACAAAAAAAGATGGAGAAGAAGAATCCTCTTCCATCCCACTAGTCTCCCCTTGAAGAGGATTCCTAAAAGATTGAAAATAGGACTAAGACTCGAAAAACACCACATCCTTGGTGACATATTTTTTCTTGGTAACTAAATCATAGCACTTATAGCCTTTTTGTGTAAGAGAGTACCCTAGAAAGACCCCTTTAGCAGCCCTTGGATCCAACTTAATCTTCTTAGGATCTTTGACATGGATGAAACACACACAGCCAAAGACCCTAGGAGAAAGGGGAAAATCTAGAAGGTTAGGACAAAGAATAGAGAAAGGAGCTCTCAAACCCAACACCCTAGATGGCATCCGATTTATTAGATACGATGTTGTAAGGACTACTTGAGACCAATAGTGCTTGAGAACCTTGTGTTGAAATAGTAAGGCTCGAGTTGTCTCCAATAAATGTCTGTTCTTGAGCTCAGCAATCTCATTCTGTTGGGGGGTACTAGCACAAGATGACTGATGTAGCATGCTTGCATTCTCATGAACAAATTCAAGGAGCTTTCAAAGTATTCAGCAACATTATCTGAACGGAATTGCTTAATTTTCTTGCCAAATTGATTTTTCAATCATTTTACAAAATGCCATAGTTATCCGTGGCACTTTATTACGTCCTTTTAACAAGTCGATCCAGGTGAATCGTGAATAGTGATCAATACAACTGATAAAGTAACATAAGCCATCTATAGAAATAATAGGTGAAGGGCCCCAAATATCAGAATGAACCAAATCAAAAGAAACTTGAATTTCATTACTAGAAATTGGATAAAGAGTTTTTTGTTTTGAAAAATGACACACTTCGCAAACCAAACTCTGACTCAAAACACACTTGAACAACTCAGGAAACAATCATTGCATTGACAAAAAAAGGTAAATGACCTAGTCTAGCATGCCACAAATGTAACCTAGTTACTGACTCCTCGTTATCCCGACCACTGATAGTAGATGATTGTAAGGCTAAACTAATGTCTGCATCAAAATAGTAGAGACCTCCAGACTCATGACCGCTCCCAATCGTTCTCTTCATCAATTTGTCCTGAAAGACAATAAGTAGGAAAGAAAGTTATGCTACATTTTAAATTCTTGGTAAGCTTAGAAACAGGTAAGAGGTTGGAAGCAATATTGGGAACATGTAGAACAGGTTTAAGAGAGAGATCCTTGCTTAGGTCAACCTCCCCTTTCTCAGAGATGGTGGAGAATGAACCATCAGCAACTCTCATCTTATGTTGGCCAGACATCAGTGATAAGAAGAAAATAAAGAAGACATGTGTGCCATGTAGACTTGGCAAAAAGTTGACCCAACCCGCAAACCTGACCCAACACAACCCGAAAAAACAAGGTTAGGGTCTCATATTTAGCTACCCATATGTGAAAATGACCCAACTCGACCCAACCCGAAAAAATTTGGGTTAGGTCATGGGTCAACCTGCTGACCCGATTGTCACGTCTAATTGGGATTATTTATGCATTGTTAGAAGTTTCCACTCTTTAATTTTTTCTATTTAGTCTGTATTTTTTATTGTTTACTCTTTAAATTGTTAAATGTTCAAGTTTTTTATTTTATATTTGGAATTTTAAGGTTAATTCTTTTAATTTTTACATTTTTCATGTAATTTCTCTTTATTTTTTAAATTTCAATTGTTTTTGGGGATGACCCGAATTGAACCATGGGTCAACCCTAACCCGAATATTTAGGGTCAGGTTCTAGCATTTGACAACCCAACCCAAAATCAACCCGAAGTACCTTGACCCAACCTGAACTCGACCCACCCAACCTAATTGCCAGGTCTAGTGTCATGTGGTCAGTAGCACCGGAATCAATAATCTACGAATTAGACTCTATAGGACAAGTTACACTGTGAGCAGAGACAATACCTGATCTGGCAAGAGAGGTGGAAGCAAGGGAATTGTTCCTTAGATGAGCCATGGCCCAGATAAGGACTTTTACCTCATCAGTAGTGAAATCAAATGACCCAGATGTGCGAGAATTAGTAGTCTGTCCCATAGGAGGAGGTGCAACTGTAGATGTGTTCTTTGGGGTCTCACTATTGTTGCTTATGACAACGTTCCCGCTTGTTGTTTGACTCCTCTAAGGCTTCTTGTCTTTCCTTAAAGCAGTTGGTTTCAGATGAGGATAAAGAATCCAGCAAGTCTCTTTCAAATGTCTATCACCTCCACAATGAGAGCACTTAAGATGTCTCTTGTCTGAATGTTTGCCCCCTTTTTGGGTTGAAGAAATCAAGGCTGAATGCTCAACAGGTTGTACTTGGGTGTCAACTTGCATTTCTTTCCTTCTAACCTCTTCATTCCTTACAAGGTAGTAAACATGATGTAAATCTGGAATTTCATCCCTTCCCAAAATTTGGGATCTTATGCTTTCATACATCGGATATAGGCCAGCCGAAAAGTTAAAAGCTATACCTTCTTCAATTTTTTTATCATGTTGTGAGCATCGGAAAACCGGGCTCACTTGCTACCTGGGTAGATATGGAGTCGCCACCCATCAAGTTAGGAGATGGAGGTGATGGGACCTCCGAGGAAATGATTTTCTAAAACATTTTGTTTTAATAGTGACTCCAAAGCCCAAGGCACCGGTCCAACCAATCTA